GTGTTAGAGGTCCTCAATAGCATCCTATCATTTAAGCTTATGTTATAGTATGTTGCCCGATTTTCCGTAGATTTAAAGTTATTTAATTTGTTGTAAAAAATCATAAAAATTAGATTTCCGCCTAAAATCATCTCGTGCTTCCAATAGTGTGTTTAAAGTGGTTATTTTCTTCTTTAACTACGTACGGGCAAATTTGAGTCGGATTGAAAATATATATTTTTTGCCCTTAACAGCAATTGAGGTCCTCTAACTCCACAAAACCGATGATCCGTCCGTTAAGAATCACCCTATATAAGAAATGGAGTCTGTCGCCAACAAACTGCTGTGTAATTTGGGGACTTTTCTTTTGTAAATCATTGTATATTTTTTCTTATGTAAATAAATAAATTAAAAAATACTGGTGTAACTTACATTGGTGGCTGTCACATCCTGGGTTTTGTTCAGCTGGAATATAGTACATTGGTTGTGTGGTTTCTTGGAATCCTGGAATAGGAAGTGTAAGTAAATAAAACAAGAATTTAGTGTACTGCGTAAAAGAAACAAAGCTTTAATATTTCAAAATGGGGACTTGGTTTAGTAGTGAAAATCATCATCATCATCACCAGCTCGCTATACGTCCCCAACGAGGGGCTCGGAGCCTACCCTAAATTAGGGTTACTAGGCCTTAGTCAACCACGCTGGTCAACTGCGGGTTGGTTAATAATAGTCATAGTGTGCATTAATTGGAGTATTCCTAACCGTCACGCCGCTCCGTTCCTACATGAGAATAAAAAGGTTCATCCGTCCCACCTTTCAGTCCCACTATCACCAATAAGGTGACAGATGGAACCGTTATGAAATAAAATAAGTTCCAACCGTCCCCGCATCGCAAAAGGCGGGACGGATGACACTTTTTACTCTCATCTGCCTTCACGTGGGGACAGATCGGGCTGACGGTTGGGAATAATCAATTAGTCTACTAAGGACCTCCCCCACCAAATTATTTAACTTGATTTTGTTATTTGACAGTGACGTCTTTTTTAAGCTATCTGAGCCTTTATCAGCCAGTGGTGGGACAGGCATATTATGCATATTATACAAAAAAGATACTGACCCACACAACATTGTTCATAACATAACTGCTGCATACAGATATCCGTCGTACACATATCTGCAAATAAAGAAAAATATGTTATTAAGATATTAACTAATATTTGATTAGGTGAGTTAAAAAGACGAAGCCATTGACAACTCGTCTAAATCTGCTTTGCTGTTTAGGCTCTGGTCCGTCACAATGGAAATTAACAAACTTACATAAAAATCATACGCGCGAAAAGCCCTCTTTACAAAAAACTAGCTATTGCTCGCGACTCTGTCCCCGTGAAATTATGAAAAAAGACATAGCCTATGTTACTCACTGATGACGTAGCTTTTCAATGGTGAAAGAATTTTTGAAATCGGCCCAGTAGTTTCCGAGTTATTTTATTACATACAAAAATCCAAAAGTACAAATCTTTCCTCTTTATAATATCAGTATAAATAACAATTTTTGTACATATTCATTTATTTTAATATAATATCAATTTTTTAATATTTAAGTCAAAGTGTTACGCCAATGCATCGAATAGATATGGCAGTAGTAGGAAAAAAAAACATACAGACGAATTGAGAACCTCCTTCTTTTGGGAAGTCGGTCAAAAAACGCGCGTTGGTAGGTACACCAACTTGCCTAAAGGTATATAGCAACAAGTCTGAAAATCTAAGACAAATGGGCGACATTAAAATATATATAAACATGTCAGTTCTAATATAGTTTTGAGTGCTAAAATGAAAAATAAAATCTCTTGTATGGTTTCACCAAAAATATATTTTACGGTTGTATTGCGAAAGGCGCTACACGAGTATTGCGAATTTGAAATAAGAAATTAAAATTACTTCAAAGTCGGCGACAGAACAAAGGAGTCGAGCTCATTGAACATTTGCAATACTTTTAATAACCCTTCCGGTTTACCAACTCGTGGAACAGAAATCGTATGGTTTCCAAAAGTTTCGAAACTTAATTGTTCCCAATGTTGCCAAGGATGCCGTGCTTCTGCAGTATTTGCTGAACCATGTATACGTGTCAATATTAAAGTGAAAATAACATCAAAATAAAAAAAAAACTTTTGGCCACGACTCCGTTTACGAGGAATTAAAAAACACTTAGCAAGTACCCTATGTGTTCTTCCAGACTATTTTCTACAGCAGCGCCAAATTTCATCCAGATCAGTTAAGCCGTTCTGAAGATACCTTTAAACAAAAGTCTGGAAGAAGAAATAGGCTACTCACTTTTGTTTTTATTAATTCTACGCGGACGGACACGCGAGCGAAAGCTAGTTTCTTATAAACTTTTTAAACATTATTGCTTTTGAAATAATGTTGAGGAATAAATGTTTCTTTTTAATTAAAATACATACAAATGCACTTACTACGTATTTGAAATAATTTAGATTTTTAACATTAAGACAATACTTTAGTAAGGTATGTTCAAAAAGTTTTTTTGACACATGTTTTATAATAAAAAAATCAGCTGTACCTTCTGTTTGTTTGGGATCTTCTGGCGTAGGAAGGAAGATGCCGAGGTTATCATTATAGTGCAATGGAGCTGGTTCACCCATCAAAAGTAATTTTCCATCGTCTCCAAAACCCAGGTCATCATCTACATAATCCACTTCGTATTGATTCATCTCGAATGGGTCCATTCTGATAATTTTTTAAATAACATATATCAACACAACTAAAGAACGCTACGATTAGGTCCACGCGGTAACTTAGACGAACGAGGGGTTGGTCTCCGTTGCGCAGGTTTCAAACCTACCCGCTTTACGCGGCGTACAGGAACTAACTGAAGGAAAGTTCACATTTCCGCAACAACATAACTTTTGCAGTTAATCCTTTCCACGTGAAACTTTGTGAGGTTTTAAATTTTAGTAAAATTGATTTTGGTTGTGCGTTTTATTTCTGTTTTGTTTATTTTATATTAAAATTATTTATTACTTTATATGAAAATATTTACGATACGATAAAAAATAGGATGTTATAGATTATAAATTTTGAATTTGAAAAAATAATTTTCTGCCTTAATTTTACTTTTAGATGTAAGTATATTGTGTGCAGGTGAAATAATTTACAGTACTGATAAAAATTCTTCAAAAAACTCAAAGCATGCTCGGTTCTATTTTAAGTATCGGGGGTAAGTTTTTTTTGTTTGAATTTTTAACAAGGTAACATCGAAATAATTTCTTTTGATTTGGCTAGTACTTGTTACCTTTTGTATCTGAAATTTTTAATACGATTTTGAACTAATTAGATATATTGAAGAGTTTATACAAATCAATTCTAAGGTAAAGAACGTACTTAGTTATTACGTTTTTTAAATCTCAGCTATTAATGTTAGTATGTCTAAAATAGCCCTTATAAGTGCTAGGAGTAGGATTTTTGTCTTCGGGTAAAAAGGTAAGTTTATTAATTTTGATGGACACGTCTCTAATTATTAAGCTCGTACTTTCCAGATCAAGTTTGCATTTACATGACAGACTGAACGTTAAGGGCTCCTGTACACGGACATGTTCAAATAATAAATATCAACAGCTTCAAGCAGTCTTTAGATGACCAGCAGGTTTATCTTTTGGTGTTATAGATTACTTGAAGCATTGTTTAGTAACTGAGTTAGTTTCGATATTTAAAAATAAAAAATAAAATAAATAAAACACTATTTATTGACCAAAAGAAAATTAAAAGAACGCTACTTACAATTATTACTGAAATAAAAATAAAGATACAAACTCTTGGTCAAAAGGAAAAGGCTCAGCTGATGCGGTCTCCAGCTTGTCACTGAAGGCCGAGCTGGTTTTCAGCCTCCCCTAAACTACTATAACATGGTTCAGTTTATGATACAGGGGGCAGTTGAGATATAATATAAGCCATCATTGCACTTATGTGTGTGTGTTGCTGTGTGTATGTAAATGTATTTGTGTATTGTTGCGTAGGCTTGTGTGCGTTTGTGTGTGCGATGAGGGAAAATAAATATTTAAGAATTCAGAAATAAGAGAAACTTTCAGAGACTTTTATTTCCTTTACCTATATTAAAAAAAACGTAAAACAAAATATTAAGCCCCTCTGTTCTGACAGTTTTTACGGAACAGTCGAACTGTTTACGCCACCAGTTAGGGTATGCTTGCGGGGGCTGCCTGTCGGGGATGTCGTATATTAGCTGACGGTCAAATCCGCATACTTATGTGTTTCTAAATCATTGTTCTCTTTTAAAAAAGTAACTATAATAGTATTTTAACTAAATCGAATTTATGTCGGCCGAAAAAAGAGATTAAAATTATAACTGGCGTAGCTGTATATACACAGTTATATCTTACTAATATTATAAATGCGAAAGTTGAGATGGATGGATGGATGTTTGTTAGAGTTTGTAGCCTAAACGGCTAAACGAATCTCAATGATATTTGGCATAGACGTACATAGAATATAGTCTGGAAGAATAAATAGGCTACTAACTTTTGTTTTTTTTTAACTCCACGTGGACGGAGTCGCGAGCGAAAGCTAGTTTTTAACGTAAAAGTGAAGTCATCTAATTATCTATGTATGTCGTTATGTGTATTTGTATTTAGTTTTATCGATTCCTACCTCTGAGAAACAAAAAACAATCTACTTTTGCGACTTCAGCGACAAAACGGAATGTCGAGAAACCAATCTTACCTAGTTAGCATCTTTTGCATGTTACGTTTACGAAGCAGAGGCAGTGTTTCGATAAATTTTCCTACAGGCTGAATTTCCTATTTTGCGTATCTTTATATTATTTTATCCATAATTATATTTTAATCTGTTATTAACATAACTATTAGATTAACTGTAAAACTGAATGAATAAAAAATCTATTTTTTTTACAATAAAGTTGTAAGATTCAAAATGGCAACATTAGTTGGTGAAACCGCGAATCCGTGGTCGCCGGAACTGTCAGCTGTCAGTCTCGAAGCGATAGCGCGAAGGTACGTTAGTGACCGAATGCAAAATAAAAACTTTCACGCGCAAATTGAACAGAAGAAAACAACAGGTCAGTGTAAGTTTACATTTTACATAACCGTAAAATAAACATTAAGTGAATCGAAGAAGTATTAATTAAAATTATTTGCGATAACTGGAAATACTTTTATACAATGTTTAGAAAAAGTGTTATTTTCGTACCATTATTATGCAGCAAATTAATTTTATCATATTGCATTTTAATACATGCAAAACGTTTGAAAAAAATTGCAAGATTGATATGTGAAATAATTTATTTTTATAGAATGTAATCGAAAAAAAATTTTTTTTTTTGTTTATCAATGTTTGGGTTTGAGAATGATTTTTCACGTTGTGGGAAAAACGAAAATTAACCTAATTATTATTTAGGCAATCTTTAGAAGTCTTATAGTTCTAATCTGACGATTTTAGTGTAATAAAAGGTTATGCGTACCGTAAATCCAGACAAAAAATCCAACAATACATTGTTGACATATTTTAAGTACGATTTCAAGGAACCAACTGAGTCAAATATTCCAGATCTGTAAACAACTGCGTACCATATTTATATGTACTTACCATTTTTATAAGTATTGAATGCGTAGATGAAGTATTAAGATGTTATTTATAAATAAATACTAACAGTGAGTTTCTACTGCTGACGCACATGTTTTAGCCTTTGTATCCTGACAGACGATAGGAAGGGTAACAATGTTGTGTAGCAGTATTTTGTCAGTAGAAACTCACTGTTATATGTATGAGATAGGTATTAAAGAAATGACTCTTATCACGTTTGACCTTACTAACCCACAAGTTGCATTAAATCACGGAGATAGTTCTCAACTTAACATTGTAATGCAACTTTCTGTTTACTTATACGTTACAGATATATTGTGAACTTCGTCACTTGTTAATGGGACTAGGTATTCTGTGTTACAAACACAAGTGATTTTATCAGTTAATAAACAACAAAGAGCAATTGAAAACACGTAAATTGAAGTCAGTTATACTGTGTATTCCGGTGTTATTGGACAGCCCAGGGCGCAGAACATAGAGGGGCACCACAGGTTCAATGGGCGCCTTTTTTCGTATGCGTTTCTACTGTAGTTAGGGAACGCGGTAGATATCTTGTCCAAGGCGCTAGTAATGCTAAAACCGTCTTTTACATGATAATAGATATTTGAAATGTATGTTTTAGTTCGTTTCTTTTTTGTAAATCTTTACTAATATTATAAAGAGGAATGATTTGTATTTTTTGTTTTTTTGCCCGTATTGAAAAACTTGAAAAAATACTGGGCCGATTTAAAAAAATCTTTCACCGTTAAAATGCTACGTTATCAGTGAGTACCGTAGGTTTTTTTTATTTTTTTTACCTTACGGGGGCGAAGTTACGAGCAACAGTTAGTATCCAATATAAATGATATATGCGGTTGGTAAGCGAAAGGTTTGTATTGTTGCAAAACATGGTCATTCATAGCAGACTGATGACGAAATAAAACGCGACGCTGAGTCGCGAATCAAGTTCCATGGTCGATATTTGTTATTTTTTCTTTGGTTTATGACATCACAGTATGTTATAGATTCCTACATAATTATTTTTACATGTTCACGTCCCCTATGTGATCTTAGACTTTAAATTTTGATGAGGTCTCAGTATGCAAAAAAGTGTGTCTTAAATATCACGATATAAAAACCGGTACTAAAAGTAACTTTTTTTCCTAAACATGATATTATTCTGATTTTAAACAAGTTGATTTTAGCATCGCCGGATTCAGTTAGTATTATAAAATTATATATGAATGGAAAGTTCCAAAAGTTTGAAATAGATATCTTATAGTTATGAATATACATTAAGTTATGTTTACTGAGCGCAGGTAGTGTACAAGTTGCTCAAGTTCTCCTTGCCCTTATAACCGTTTCGAGAGTTACACTTCGTGTATCTAGTTAAGTTATCGTTAAGTCGATATTGAAAAACTAAGTATGCTTGTGTTTTGTTATAACAAATTAACATTAGTTTAATAAACTAGCGAATAAATATGAATATTATCACTTTATATAAATAGCATAATAGTTATTAGTCGACGACTAAAATGTCGAGGTCAAAAAAAGCCTGTCGAAGAAAAAACGGCTAATGATTTGTTGCAAGAATTATTTTTTTTTGCAGTTAGTCGTCAAGCCAAACGCTATTAAAGTTATAACTTTTTACTTGTTTTAGCGAAAATTTTATTTTGTCTATGGTGATCGATCACATTTACTACCAGAGAACATACTTTATTTGATAGAAAATCAATTAACTATTCCAAATAGTTATATCTTAAACATAACTGATTTTAAAGTTATTTGAAGATTCGTTTTAAGAGTTGTCGACGAAGTCTCTAAAAATCCTCTATTATACAAATTACAAGAAACAAGAAAATGAAAGATGTGTTAAATTGTCAAATTATTGTAAATGCGATTTAGCGGTTTTTTCTTACAACTAATCGGTCAGTGATCCTAAAGAATCGTGTGAGCCAAGGATTAAGTTAATTCAAACCTTATTACAAAGAATTATGACTTAAATTTTGTAATGTTCAAATTTTTATAAAATGCGAACATAAAACATATCCATATAAATAAAAGAACAGTTTTCGAATCGTAATTATGTGACAACTAAATAATTTTTTGATTATGGTAATTTGTCCAAAAGTACAAAGAATTTCCTTCAAACAATCGGCGTACTGCCGATACCAATTTCGCCGCTAAAAATACCATTTGCTGCCTACTTTAAGGTTAACTCTGTTGACTGCTTGAAGACAGCACTGTTAACTGTTTGAAGCTGACTTGTACCATACTTAGGGCAGTCGTGAAAATAATTGCAATTGGTGGTAATCTTACTTCTTACTAATATTACAAATGCAAAAGTTTAAATGGATGGATGAAGGGATGGATGTTTGTTAGAGTTTGTAACCTAAACGGCTGAACGGATCTCGATGGAATTTGGCATAGATGTAGAGAGTAGTTTGGAAAAACTTATAGGCTATACACTTTAGTTTTATTTAAATTCAACGCGGACGGGGTCGCGGGCGAAAACTAGTAATTAATAGATATAAGTAACTGTTTACCTTTAATACGATTTTAATTTCTGATTTACCATTGACACGATGTGAAGGTAAAATCTCGTGGGAAAAAAGGTGCGTCTTATACTGCGGTTGGAGAAGCGATGTTGTGACCTTGGTTATTTTTTATATAATAATAAATATAAATAATTAATCAGAATTGCAAAGTAAGTACTTTTAGAATAAACGCTTTGGTCTATATGAATTTAGTTTCATATTTGGGTATTACTTCATTAAGTTTATTATAACTAAAATAAGACTCGGATGAACCGTTTTTAACTGTGAAATCGCAGTTAAAAAAAAGTATTTTGTGTGTTTTTCATGAGATATAAATAGTTATATTAATATTTTGTGTATTGTTCAAAGGAAATGAGGCCTCTGGATAAGGAGCTATGCGAGACGGAGCCCGGAGACCGGTACTATAACTACAGGAAGGATTTGAGGACAGCTTTGCCGCAGATCATAGCTGTTAGTGTCAAGAATCTGCTTATATTGGGTGAGTATATATTAAGATGCGATACCACTGGCGTCTGATAAACTTTGGTACGGTGTCTTAAATTGCGGCCCGGAATTTGATATATAGCGGTACGCAATGGTTACTGTTTTAACGTTTGTATTGTGACCACTAATCCACGGTTTCGACTCCGTTCGTCATTCTCCAATTGCTTATCATTTCGTTATACAAATAGTTTTAGAACAAAAGGTTTGCGAATTAATGAAATGTACTTTTATGTGTTATTTAGGTGCGTAATGCAAGTTTTCATTTAAACAACACTATTACTAGTACCCTGACTATAACTGATGTATGTCAAAAGCTGGGCGATGCGAATATATTTTTATCTCTGTTGTTTCAAAGGGAATGAAATGGATAGCATAGTTTATGTACAGATGTTTCAGTAATGAAAACCCTCGGTTAAACACTATGCGATTGTTTTCTTATATTATAAACATAATGCACACGACAATAGAATAATAAGAATAAAATATCTTTGGCATGAGTTGTTTTATGCTGACTCTAAACTACAGATAGGTAATGGCTCTCATTATTCCACAAAAAAATCTGTAACGTTCAGTTTTGACTGAACTGTCAGACTGTACAGTTAGACTGTTCAGTTAAAACTGAACACGTATAGTGGGCTTTACAAAAAGTGCCAAAAACATCACTGTACATAAACTTGACATATAATTTAAATAGTTTTCAATACAAATTCATTTATTCTCAATTATTCATCCTTGTTCCGTTTAAAGATTCGTTTTTAAAAAAAATGATAATGAAACTTTTGTCGTATGCATTTTGTGAATTTGTCGGCTTTGCGTTTATGACTTTTCCACGCAGGCAGCATTAAGAGTACTAGGACAGACCACTATTGTGAAATGCGTAGATGTTACTGTTTTGTTATAAATGTGTAACAAACAATAGCAGTACTGCAATGTGTCCTGCTCAATGTTCTTCCCTCGTGTGAAACTCGAATTACATATATAGAACAATCTATGCTTACAAAGAAATGTTCTACTTAATATTGTATAATGCTTTAAATTGGCCTTCAATTTAACTTCACTGCTGTTGCAATTATAATGAAATCTGGTTCAATTTTATTTTTTTAAATTTTACAACATATTTACTTGGTATTTGGTTGAGATTTCGTTTTAGTTAGGTATCCTAGCTCTTAATGAGTTTAGCTTTTAATTTTCCCAGTTTATAATGATTCGTTACATTATAAATTAGCCGAGTTTACAGTTTTACGTTGACACACACGTACAAGTTACAATATCATTTGATTCCTAAAAGAATGTGTTAACACAACATATATATTAATAATTACAAACACTACAAAGAATGAAAATAATAGAATTTCATTTTCATTCAATTTTCAAAACATACATATGATAATATTATATAGTTATGTGTATTTAAAGCTATCTAAACTACGAGTATATCTACCAAGTGTATATTGCATTTAAACAATATTTGACACGCTATAAAAATTTTAACAAATTTTATCTTACAACCTGTCTAAATTAGCCGCCCCCTATTATGTCTGAGGTCGACTCTTTTGTGTTAGTAACAAGAGAGTCAAACTTTATGGCGGCTCGTGGATAGCTATAGACTGAAGTAGGTGTAAGCCGCAGTCTAGTACTGGTCTGCTAATCGCACAATCTCGTACTGTCACACTATCTTCTATCGCAAACAGGTAAAAAAGTAGAATGAATAACCTTATGTAACATACTTCTTAAATTATTTATCCGAGACACAAAAAGTCGAGATAAAGTAGACGTGTAAAGATCAACAACTTATTGGATTACCTATTATTGATAAGTCGGTTATAACCGGTTCGAATAGTGGAAGGCAAGATAATATTCGATTTGAGATGTTTGAAACGAGAGTACTCCTGTTCTGTGCCAAATAAATGATAACATACATGAGGTTTAATAAGAGCGGCTGCACAACTTTACTAAACTACCTGACAATTTATTTGCGATTGTCGATTGTTTCGCAGCCAATTCAACTTTACAGTCGCACAACTATCGAGTAATGTCCGCACCTCCATATAAACTCATAAGAATCAAAACGTGGCTAAACAGATGTGCGATAGTTTAATCTAAGGTCTTTACCTTATATATTACCTTTGTCTCAATTATATTACACTAGCTTTCGCTAACGACTCCGTTCGCGTGGGATTAAAAGAAAACAAAAGTGAGTAGCCTATGTGTTCTTCCAGACTATCCTCTACATCTATACCAAATTTCATCAAAATCCGTTCAGTCGTTTAGGCTACAAACTCTAACATTTAAACTTTCGCATTTATAATATTAGTATGATTTCTATTATTATTTCATAGTATTTTTACGACTACAATTACGCATCCCTGTACAGACTTTTTAAACTACTAACATGTAAATGCTGTATCGATTAACTACAGATTGTTATTGTTATTGTTATCTCTCTTATCTTTAGGGTAAATGAGGTACTATTGCCATGTATTAGGACAGTGGAAACTCATCTATAAAATTAACATATTCCTATACCAGTGAAAGTTGTAAAGCATAGAAAGGAACCGGTTGACATGTGTTGTTGCATATTCAAACTGTGGCTATCGACTGACGAAGTATCGACACATATTGTTGTCTCTCTCATTCCCTTTTTAGAAAAGAGACAACATTAATATGTCATGGTAGTGAAATTATAAAGTGTGTTCTGTTCCAGGTTACGGTATGACCTTGGGCTTCCCGACTATCCTGATACCAGCTGTCAGTCAACCACAGGATGGAGAGATACTGCATCTTAATAATACACAAATCTCTTGGATAGGTAAGTCTAATATATTCAAAGATGAAATACAAAATGAATTTCGTTATTTACGGTTTTCTATTGTAAAAATCACTAGGTAAATGAATTGCATACTGATTATAACCTATTGTTTTGTTACGCATACTCAATGTGTCCAAAAGTTTTTAACGCGACTGTACCTTTTAATGTGAAATCAGATCCTTGGTTGTACATCAAAAAATGAAATTAGATTTCTACTGACCATTGAACATCATACGGTAAACTGTTACTAGACTTGTAAAAGACCTCGGAATCCACTTCGATGAACTTAACTAAAGTTATTAAAGAAATTGACAGACCAGAGGCCAATTAAATAAAACAAGTTTGACAAAAAAACCTTTAGCATTTAAATAAAAAAACCAGTTCTAAAGATTTAGCCTAAATATACCAAGAACATTGTTTCTCCTTCATTATTTTTCTAATTCAACATAATTTACATTATTGGAATAATTATAACTCTTTCTTGGTGTTCCTGTGACATAAAGATATTTAAAATAGTTTGGTAGCATGAGCGTTGCCAGTAGATGCTCCAGTCTCCCTAGACGAAGTAACTACCTACTTAGATAGTAATGCCATCTTACTTCTTATCTTATCTTATCTTACTAATATTATAAATTGCAAAGTTTAGATGGATGGATAGATGGATGTTTGTAGCCTAAACGGCTGAACAAATCTCGATGAAAATTGGCACAGACGTAGAGGATAGCCTAGAAAACACTTAGGCTACACACTTTTGGTTTTTTAATTGCACGCAGACAGAGTCGCGGGCGAAAGCTAGTTTACCATAAAAATGATTTTGATTGGTGTATTGCTAATGTTCCAGTATGTTGAATTGGCTATTGAATTAATAGGATTGTTCGCTAAATAACAATTTAACACGTATTCAGAAGCCTCAGGATATCTAACTAATCTCTTCATGCATCGAAGATTTATATTATTTGTCGTGTACTTGCATTGTACTGATAACGTATTCGTAACCGTTACCTGTAATTGGTTTTAATTAGCGCATTGATAACGCTATTTGCTAATTAGCAGACACTTTTATTGTTTCATAATTAATAGCTACTCTCGACTGCCAGTGCCTATCGACTTTATTGTTTCGAAAATTAAACACGCTAAATCTTATTACAAAAGCAATGTATCAATGAGACGCGCATTTGTGGATCATTTGCGTTTTTAGTGGTTGATTCAATTAAGAATCATAAAATAAAGAATGCTCTATCTTCTTATTTCTCACAAAGACCCAGTAATTGTTTTAGCGCTATTGTTGCCCTTGGTAAGATTTAGCACTTTCAAGAGGAGTGGTGGTCTTCCAAAAGTGCACAGAGGTTGCACAAGTTTCCTACGTACCTGTTCTTATCAAAAGAGTTTAATTTCCTTGAATTAGTCACCTCAGAAGTTGGATAATACATCGTTATGTAAATGTCCTAGGTTTAACTGATGTGTTGTTTCCCATTGTAGGCTCGATAAATTTGATTGTCGTGCCGTTGGGATGCGCGCTCTCCGGCGTAGTGACGGCACCACTGGGGCGACGTCGCGCTATGCAAGCTGTTAACCTGCCCTTTATCATCGCTTGGCTACTATTCTACTTCTCGAAGTCAGCTGTTTATCTCTACTCCGCTCTGTTTCTAACCGGTCTCGCGGGAGGATTGCTTGAAGCGCCAGTGAGTAAACTTTTATCTGCTTGTTACAATTGCGTGCCTTACTTACTCCACCAATTAACTTGAAAATTTGCATACACGTTGCCATGGATATAGAAAAGGTTATGTGGTACTTATTTTATGAAAGTCTTGAACTGTATTGTAGTTATTTGAAGATAATTGTAGTACTAAGGTATTCTAGATATTTTTACATTAGATTTTACCGTACAGAAAAAATAATTTTGTAGAGTTTAGATTCTCAACGTCAGTGTCAAGATATTTTATTGATAAGAATATTTAAATAAAGATAAAATTAAATGCAATTTAATATATAAATGGCATTGATATTCAAGTATTGATAGATATTGAATATGATAGTGTTAAAAATTATCTAATCGGCTTTCACGACAGCTGGAACCTTTCCTTTGGATCTGAAATTCCTATACAAAAATATATTAATGAAATTTAGTATCCTCTTAAAGCTTTTAAACTAAAGTTAATAGTGTTACGTTAATAAAATCTTTATTTCCGTAATCGTTTCTATTTAATAGTTATCGACCTTCATACATCGCTGATCTCTATCAATATTTCCTGAACTGAGACGTTGCAAATAAAAAGATGCCGTCACAAGTTGCACATCTAACAGGATTTTTTATAGTCAGGGAATTTAATTTGCGACCCAGTTCAAAGTGAGTACCATAAAAGTACACTATTTAAAGATTCAAGGTGCTATTTCACAAATTGCATATCTAACAAGATTTTTTATAGTCAAGGAATTTAATTTGCGACCCAATTAAGAGTAATAAAAGCAAACTGTTTATTAAAGGTGCTTTTTCACTTAATTTCTTGAGAAAATAGGTTCTGAAAGATTACTTTTGTTAATACCAACAGGATATACAGATAATTGGATACATTTTTTTCATTCATTGAAACAATTGTTTCTCAAATGAGTTTAACCGGAATCGCATTGGTACATACATTCTTTTGAATTACGAGTACATAATTGCAAGTTCTGTTCATCGTGACGTCACCAATACTTCTTAGAATTAACACTATACCACAAACGATCTTTCATGTTATTTGCAATTCTGTCCGATAGTTACGTAAATGTATGTGGTAGGCATTAGGGAAGGCCTATGTCCAGCAGTGGGTAGACAAAGACTGATGATGATGATGATGATGATTTCTAGTATTCTGCTGTAGTTTTAAAAGCAGCTGATGCCAACAACATTGTCGTCGTGGAATTAAAAAAAGGCTTTTATAATGTTACTTCCTAACTCGTATTTACTTTATACCTATGGAAGTCCTGTCAAAATCGATCTCGTCTTCGGAGAATACCTGAAACAAACGCCTGCATAAGCACGCGTTTGTTTCAGGTATTGTCTATAAAGACAAAACTCATCATTGACAGTCATTTGTTTTAATGATAATTTATTAAAATAAATGACTACAGGTTGTACAGTCAGCGAAAATGTTCCGCAGGTGCTGACTTACGTGGCTGAGATAACTCAGCCGCACTTGCGCGGCTCGCTGTCCGCCACCAGTTCGATGTGCGTCATCTTGGGAGTGTTCACTCAGTTCGTATTCGGTACATTGATGAACTGGCGGACTGTGGCACTTGTTAACATCAGCTTTACAGTAAGTTGCCGACTACCTTTTAATATAACTATTTTGAGATGACAAACGAGCAAGCGACTACCTGAATACGTCGAAATGGCGTAGCGAGCGTTGTCATAGACTACACTTAAATGAAGGATGGGGAGACGCTCAAAAAGACGAAATTTCTCCTTACCATGCGTCTCCTCCAACGTTAAATCCATATTTCCTTCCCATCCCTTCCTCTTAAGAGAAGGTTGGAAAGGGAAAGTTACTTAGATAAGGCCTCCGGCACAACACTCTGATGAGTGCACTACACACAGCATAGCTCCCACTTCACGACTGCCTTTTGTGTTCTTTAAGTGCTCGTAGAAAGTTGTCGTTTAGATCTATCTTCTTTCTCACTCAGTCACCTTTCAAACTCCGAATTTCAAGTTAGATCTTTATTTTTCAGATAATCTCCGTTATCGCATTATTCTTCATCCCGGAATCGCCGCATTGGCTGATATCAAGAAACCGAGACGACGAAGCTAGGAAGGTATTTAAAAACAAATATCCATTTTTTTGTCTTTCACCTTTGAAAAAAAATAATTGTTCATTTTATTTAACACAATATAACAAACAATCAGCCTTGCTTGCGTCCTTGATATTTCTTTAACAATATAACAAATAAATAAACAAAAAACGCCGAATGGATGTTGCAAAACACAAGATCAGATTTCAATTATTGTTTACTATTTAAAAAACAAAATCTTAAAACCACTCGATTAATTAAATAATAATTACTTAGGTAGTTGCTAACTGCCTTACTTAATTACTAAGGTCATTTAGGGTAGATTTCATCAAAAATCAATCCATACTAAAGACTCAGTAGCTGAAGAAATCTACACGACTGATGTCCGGTTTCCCAGCTACACCTAACCATTCGTTAGTGTTATTGGTTCGATAACTTTATCAAAATGCCTTTCTGAACTACGTAACTTGAGTTTACTCATTGGAAACTTAGTTCAACCTGACATTAATGAATCAGTAGATACGATAAAATAATTAAAAACTTCAGAAACCCTGCATAAGTGTCCAAATGTTGTAGATTGGTGGTAACGGTTAAACTGATTGTTGCAGAGTCTACAATGGCTCCGCGGCTGGACTACAGAGGATGATGTCGATATGGAGTTGAGAGATATACAGGCTCTGTTTTGGATAGGTCAGTGGAATTTTTATCTTACTTACATCATAAATGCCAACGTTTAGATTGATGAATTTGTAGCCTAAACTGCTGAACGGATCTCGATGAAATGTGGCATAGATGTAGCAGTCTGGAAGAACACATAGGCTTATTTTTGTTTATTTTTTTAAACCCACGCGCACAGAGTCCCATGTGAATAATAGTCGTTTATAAAAATTGACACACTAGACTATAAATGTCCCGGACTATATCGGGTTTCAGAATACAATTCTTGATTTACTTTATGTGTTACATTTCCTAAATTACACCCATATTTATATTTAGTTAGTTATACAACAATCCTAGCTCTAACTTTATCCTTATATGAAGTAATACTATATATAAAATTACTAGCAATCCCAAAAAAAAAATTTAGATTTCAATGAAATAAACACTCTACTAGAACGGCTTTGTATTTCAGAGGAAATGGTATCATACAAATATAAATGGACCGCAAACCTGTCTCATTACCGCGAGCGCAAGTTCTTCATACCATTCTTTCTCGTCAGTTACAGCTTCTTTGTGGGACACTTCAGTGGGATGACCACACTGCAGGTAAATGCCTTTCATTCCGCTGTTTAATGTTCAAAACATATTTTTCTTAACTATCCTAGATTTTTAAAAAAAGTAATTAAACACGAAATAATGAGAAACGTAACTAATGAAATGAAAAAAAAGAAAAAAGACCGTATTGGGCCCTCGCTCAGCCATAAATGCTGGATGCTCCTATTGAAGTACCAGCGCTGATCTTCCGCGAGAACTCTTGGGATCATCCACACGTCAGTAGTAGCAGTGGATAGGTAGAAATTATCACATACACATGAATAAAATAAAAAGAAAGAAAAGATTTGTGAGTGAAAGTGGTCGTAATGTACCAATGGTAAGAAATTAGTAAAAGATTTCCATTTTATAGGACGAGGAAAAAATAACAATAATAAGAATTTTAGTTATGGGTGTAGATGTCTAGCAAGGGATCGATGGATTGGGTGAAAGGTGACATGTTTAAGGGTGTGAGGGAAGATAAATTAACCTAGTGGACGATAGCCAGTCGTCCTTCATAATGTTCCGCTATTTAGTATTGGTACTGAAGTCAAATTACTGTTAGATAAGTGTGTTTTTGGTGATATTCTTCTTTGGAGCTGTTGCGGTTTATTTTTAAATTATTATTATTGTTTTATAATATAAGGTAGCAAACGAGCGGCCACCTGAATCAACCGAAATGTAGAGCGACCGCTACCCATAGACATCCGCAATTGCAGATGCGTTGCCTACCCTTAATTGACAGAGGAGGAGAAGGAGGAGAGGACATTTCCCCTTCCTATGCGTCTCCTTCACCGTCAAATCCACTTTTCCTTTCCATACTTTCCTCTGACGAATAGGGTGGAAAGGGAAAGGGACTAAAAATAGGCCTCCGGCACCACAATCATCAGACTGTACGCGGAATTGCTTCCATTTCACGTCTGTTTTCTGTGTGGTCGTGGTATTACATCGGGCGAGCCGGCCCTACAATGCGAAGATGTTAAAGCGGGCTCTACCACTGTTGAATATACTTCAAATAGTTTCTTTGAATGTTTAAACATGTTGTATATTATTGTAGACGTATGCGGTGTCGATATTCCAAGCGTTAGACGCGCCAATAGACAAGTACCGGGCCACTCTGGTGCTAGGCGCGGTACAGATAGCCGGCGCAGCGTGTTGCGTGCTGCTTGTACGTGTCGCTGGCAAGCGGAAACTGACACTTGTGTCCACCGCTGGCGCGGCACTGTGTTGTCTATTGCTAGCAGGTTATGATATGTACATCAAAACGGTAAGACAATCCGTTTCAAAAATTGTTTTTGTAAAAGATGACTTTAGTGGATTATGTGTAAAATGAAGAGTCAACTATACTTCTTGTGTATATATTTTTACTGGGGATTTATTTAAATTTTCAGCATTCGAAGTTGTCCGTGTCTTATTCATCGAACAACAAGGCCGGATATGTGATGACCAACAGCTCTCTTGTAGCAGAAAACTTGGTAATTTTTTTCACATCCCTAGCACACATATTATTTAAAATCGAATAACTCTATTATCCCCTTTTGCCAGTAAACTGGTGACCAAACTAGGTACCCTGTATTGATCACATTGACATACGAAAACAAGTAAATAAAATGTACTTTTATTTATTTATGTATTTTCATCAAGATCCGTTCAGTTTAGGCTAGAAACTCTAATCCGTCTAAATTGTCGCATTTATAACATTAGTAAGATATACAAACACGCAATGTATTACAGAGCATCGGCTACTCGTGGATACCAACAACCCTTCTGATGTTGTTGGCCTTCATCTCACACACCGGCATACGACTGTTGCCTTGGATATTAATTGGAGAGGTGAGATTTATATCATATTAACTTCCGCCCACCTGAAATTAAAAAAAAAAGTGAGTAGCCTATGTCTTCTTCCAGACTATGATCTACATCTGTACCAAATTTCATCGAAATCCTATCAGGCGTGTATATCGTAAAAGATTTAGAAATAAAACTATTTTAACGGAGACATTATGTAATGATAAAATATGTACAGAAAAAGACTAGAAAAAAGTGATGACGTCGACAATGAGTTCTAATTTTAAAATAATTTAATTTCTTCTTCATTTCTAATGGCTTGACTCTAAAAACGTGTAAAAACTCCTTGAACAAGGCGTTTAGGCTACAAACTCTAACAAACATTCATCTAAACTTTGGCAATAATATGAATTATATTAGACTCTAGCTTAAGTTCCCCTAATCTTTAATTTAAATATAAGGGAATTTTATTTAAATCTATATTAATATTATAAAGAGGAAACATTTATAATTTTGTACGTAATGAAATAACTCCAAAACTGGTCCGATTTCAAAAAGTCTTTCGCCATTAAAAAGCTACGTTATCACCGAGTAACATACATTTTTATTATGTTTTATTTTTAAGAGAACGAAGTCGCGTGCTAATCATTTACATAAACGGTTTCTTTTCTAGGTGTTCAGCGCACAGACAAGGTCGGGAGCGTCAGGTCTAGCGAGCGCTATGGGCTATATATTTGGCTTTATCACTAACAAGGCGTACATAAACATGGTAGATAAGCTCTCAATATGGGGGACTTACGGATTTTATGGTCTCATATGGTAAGTAATACTAATATAATAAAACGTAAACACACTACTTTGGTACATAGGTCAGCAATCACTGAACATTTTTTAACTATTCTTTCTCTAAGCACTCACGACACGCTTTAAGATATGAGATTGTTTTTATGTAGTATACTAGCTTTAGCCCGTGAATTCGTGCACGGAATTGAAATAAAAACTTAATAAATCAATGGCCATCATATCATCTATACATGTACATAAAAATGTATTACTTTCAGTTTAACTGGATGCGTTGTGTTTGCGCTAATTCTGCCCGAGACGGAAGGGAAACAGTTAATTGATATCGAAAATCACTTCGCAGGCATCAAGAAACTTGACAACAAAGTCTATCGGTCAAAGGTAATTAGCAATATATTTTGGTTTTATTCATTTAGCCAAAAATAAAATGATAAATCAACAGGACAAAATTATGACACATACATTTTTACACAATACAATAAGTAACAGTTCACACGACACATAGAAAAATAACAATAACTACAGTAGACAGAATATGTTTTTATCTAATTTTTTTTTAATAAATGGTTAAAGAAACTTGTTTGTAAATATCAAATTTAGTGATTTAATACGAAAAATTTCTCGTATATATTAGAAATCTAATTATTTAAGCCTTTAGCAACTTCGTCCGCGTGAATTAAAAAAAAATGTGATAGATTAACTTTTCTAACGATGAAAGACATTTTTATAATCAGCCCTATAGTCTTTCAATTATTCCAAGACATACAAGAATACGTCATTGCTGTATATTATGTTAAATTGATGAATTTATGTTATTTAATTAATTTTCAGAGAAGAAAACCTATTCCGGAATCAAAGTTGAATGAACTCGGAGGCATACAGAATAAATCGTACGAGCCTGACACGACCACTCTTTAATTTCATTAAATTTTAATAAAAATATTTGTCCAAAGTTCTGTTTTGTAAATAATTATTAATTTCATATTTGTAGATTAAATAGATTTATATTTATTTAATATAGTGTTTATTAAGTCTTGTTTCACGATCGAAATATTTAATGAAAACTTTGAGGAACATACTAAAATGTGTTGGTACTAAAATTATTTATAGCGCCATCTATATCGTGTGAAAAGAAAATTATAATGTGATTTTAATTTAAAGAAATATCTTTTTAATTGTAACTTAAAGAGAAAAGTCTCGTTAAGTTACAATTAAAAAGTTTAAATTTTATATCTTGATTAAGTGTAAATTGGACCATTGAATATATTTTATAATTCCATTCATATCGTCTTTTAGCGCCATCTAGTTATCCGAAAGAAAAGTAAAGCATAGAGGCTGGTATGGTAACAGGGTATAAAATAAGTTGGTGCAATCTTAGTTGATGGAATTAAAATAGAAGATATAAAAAAGACTCACTTATGTCGACGATACAGGACTACCTAATGGTTTTTTTTTAATAACGGTGACATTTTGAATTAAAAAAATGTGAAAATACAAGAATAATACCTAATATTTACTCCTTCGTTATGTATTTCTGGTAATATTTCATGTATTCTGTTGAAATATGTATTTTGACGTAACTTTACTTTTTCCTATCAAGAGCGCTCACCTCAGACTAAGTACCCCACAGCTGTTTAGTCTCGCTTTGATTCCTAAGAGCTTATATGCAGAGCGCTCACTACTGGATTTTTTAGTTGTGCAACTAAACAGTTGAACTGCGAATCTACAACTGGACAACAGTTGTGTGACACTTTAGTTATAGGTGTGCGCCCGCTCTAAATCCATTTTGTTTTATTCAACTAAGATTGCAATTATAAGTTTTTTTATACATTTAAGCTAGTTAGTACTGTAATATTAGAATTTACTGCCGAGACATACACATGCTATCTCTTTCAATCTGACAAAACAGTAACTACAGACGTCGGTTTTGGTGAGCGTTGTTATTGATTTGTCATAAAAATGACATAAAGAGGGCGCTAGTGAGCTGTTTACCGGGTCAAATAATTTGTCCGTCTATATTAAAGTGTCACGGCAGTAGAGTTACACTAATTTAAGCATATATTCTATGTATTCGACGTACAATATGCCTGTTTGTATATTAGTTTGAGATAATAAATTCCTTTACTAAAGTTGTTATAATTTTAAAATAAACACAAACACCCAGTTGTTTCAATGTAATAATATAACTTTTTAATTTTTAACATTTACAATTTAATCTATTTTAAATAAATGTGCATTTTCACTGCTGGGACATTTTAAAATCCATGTAATCCCTCATTAATATTGTGTTCCAGCAGTGAAAGCTCACGATAATATAAATAAGTAAATAAAACAAATTTATAAATAAAGATACTTTTATTATCATAAAACATCTACGATTTGAAAATTACATTTAATAATTGAATCGAATTAAAAAATACGATACCTTACACATAATCGAATTCAATAAAAAAAGATATAACAAACCAATGTAAAGTGAACCTTCATAATCCTGAAATTACAGATTTAATTAAATTCAGACATGTTTGTATCAATAATTTAAACACTGAAATGATTCAAAATAAATCAATAGACATTTAACATTTGTCATATGACTGTAAATATCTCATTTACACTAAATTCGACCACAATCAGGTCCTATCCCACAACTCTCTGATAGAGGCTCAGATAGCTTATGACGTCACTGTGAGATAGAACAAAATCCGATATTTTACACATTCGATTGTTATCAGACAATTTACAATTTGGTGGAATATTCCCTTACTCTTATAAACAACACTACAAGTTTATACAAGAGATTAAATCGACAGATATATTAGAAATCGTTTAAATTACAGAATTACTGACTATGGTTCTAATAATAATGATTTACAAACTACTGAATACTACTATTGTTTATATATCTATACTAATATTATAAAGAGGAAAGATTTGTATTTTTGTATGTATTGAAATAACTCAAAAACTACTGCGCCGATTTTAACCCTTAACTTGGCAGAATTTTATTTTTTCGAATATCAAAATAATATTCATAGCACTTAACCTTGATGACCCAAAGTGTTTAGAAAAAAAATTGATGTATCTCTACAGATACACTAACAAGAAAAGGGTTAAAAATTCTTTCACCCTTAGAAAGGTAATTAATCTGTGAGTAACATAGGCTATATTTTTCAATTTGACGCGGGCGAAATCGCGAGCAATAGCTAATTAATTAATAAAATAAATCAGGCATAAAAGCAGCAATCAAATGTTGATCTTATATATCAAGTAATTCTTACAATTTTACAAAATAAATGTTGCCATTTTAGTACCTTAGAAACGTATTTGCCTATCTATGCATCTATGTATTTGTATGTCTATGGACTGGAAACTATCAAAATAAATGTTGCCATTATTGTAAATTGTAGAAATGTATTTAAAAATGTAGTTTTATTTTCTATTAAGACTATGTCTATGCTAACTTACTGCCATTGTTAATTCTGAACAAAATAATGAATAAGGACATTAAATCTTAGCTTGATTTCTAAATATTAATTTGTGTAGATATAATAAATACTAAACTACGGACCCTCGTGTCATTAATTGCAAATTGCATACAGTTTGTTATTACCAAGTTAAGAGAATTTCTAAATTAGGATTTTTTTCTTACTGGTAACCCTAAAAACTAGTAGACATTAGATCCTTAAAAGCTAAAATTATACATGATTTTACATTAGTTATGTACGGACAGCGTTCTTATATACTGTCCTATATAAAAACCAACATAGATTTTTACATTTAAACTTTCAAAGATAAACTTTACACAAGAACTCAATATTTAAGATACAATTTCTCATAAAACAAATGATTTTATAATTTCACTATATTTTATAAGATAACCTAAAAACGTCAATCGATGGTCATATTTGCAACGTCAGCCGATAATCAGGGAGTTGGCTACTGATTATTTTGCTTGTCTTATTTTGCTTATCCTAATAAAAATGATATTTTTCATTTATATATACAGATTTCTTGGGATTACATGCATCTTATTATTCTAAATTAGTTCATATACATTATTACAACTATCTTTCGCATGCGAGTCCGTCTGCATAAAATAAAAAAAAATTACACATTCATTCAGACTACCCTATACATTTATGCCAATCCATCCATCTATCTTAACATTCTTATTTACAACTAGCTTCTACCCGCGACTCCGTCCGCCCGTCCATGTGCCCTTCCAGACTATCCTCTACCTCTTTGTCAAATTTAATCGAGATCCATTCAGTCGTTTAGATTATAAACTCTTACAAACATCCATCCATCCATCTAAACTTTCGCATTTATAATATTAGTAGGATTTTCGAAGATTATTAGTTAAAAACTTCCAAAAATAACACAGTAAAATTAATCAGAAGACTCGACTTGCGAGAAGAATGCGAACGAAGTGATAGTTGCCTCGGGGGTGCGAGGGCTCTCCCAGGGTGGTGGACACGTGGGGGGAGTTGAGTCCTCATGCTATCTATAGATAGACCCACTAGCCGGGGTATCTACTGGGAGGGGAGGCAGCGGTACTTCCCCGGAATTCGCCGGATAGTGCCCTTGGGAGCGACGGTGGCTCTGTAACGCTGTACCCTGTAATAAAAACACAATAAATTTAATTCGCATTTATAATATTAGTTACATTAAAGAGTGAGTACAAATTTAATCAAAATAAAGAGACAAAACTACAAATAAATAAAAAAAGGTAATAGATTGGTATAACTAACAAATAATTCTCAACCAATAGTAAGGGCTTTGTCATATGAAAAACATAGGGAATAAAAATAAAATAAAACTTGCATAATATGGCTGTTAAGCTATAGGATATAACTAGTGTAACCTAAATTCCTAATTTCAAACGAGTCAAATACTCCTTTTTACTATAAATAACTGGTAAACGGTTTCACTGATCTGAATAAAATTTTGCATACATATAGAAAATAGTTTGTCAACAACATTTAGGTCCAAAGATCTTATTTAAAAAAAATATTACCTGTATAAATCTATCGCCGCATATCTCGCATACATATGGCTTGTCGCCGGTATGTCGCCTCACGTGGAGATTGAGGTCGTTACTTTGTGAGAATGCTTTCTCACAGTACGTACACTTGTACGGTCTAGCGCCGGTGTGCACGCGCATGTGACGCGTCAGTTTGTTGCTGCGGGAGAACGCTGGAATACAACAATCACAATGTTACTAATATCACAGCGATTGTACACTCGGCAAAGTAATTATACATCATCTATACACTTGACAAAGTATTTATATAGCAATTATACACTTGGCAAAGGAATTATACGGCAATTATACACTTGGCAAAGTAGTTATATACCAAATATACACTTGGCAAAGTAATTATACAGCAATTATACATTTGGCAATATAATTATACAGGAATTATACACTAGGTAAAATAATTACATGCAGCAATACACTTGGCAAAGTAATAAAATACGGCAATACACTTGACAAAATAGTACAATACAATACAAACCTTTATCGCATATCTGACAAATGTATGGCTTTTCACCAGTGTGCGATCTCCTGTGACACTGGAGGTCTGATGAGCGCGGGAATCCTGAAAGACAATTATATTAAACAACACGAATTTATTCAAACATTAGAGAAAGATGTGGGATATTACAAAACCTTTAAAAATGCAACAAATAGTATTTTACTTAATTTAACACATAAGTACAAGGATAATATGACAGATGTCAATTTTGTGAAATCACAAAGTCATCTTGAGAGCGTCCTATTAACCAATGTCTAACAACTATACGGAAGTATAAAAAAATTAACCCCTAAATGCATAATGATAATAGACTATTTTGAATTTTTTTTTCCCTTAATCGATATTCAATATACTACCCGTTTTAATTTATGGTATTTAAAAAGAAAAATGGTGCATTAAGGGTTCAATATAGTTAACTTTAATTTTTAAAATGGGTGAATTTCGAAAGAATTTGGAAATCATTCGCAAAACTAGGAGGCGCACTTATCAATGTCAAAAACTAAGATTATTGTAGGTCTAGATTTGTTTGAAAGAAAACTGTCATTCACCATATAGTAAGATTTAACAAAGGACTTTAGTACGTTTAGGGAATTAATATAAATTTAAAAATTAGCGTACTAATTAGCGTGAATGACATTGACAGCTGTCAGATAGGGATGGGACGTCTGTTTTAGTGTTGCCCGATTTTTAACAATACATACCTTTGCCGCAAAAGTCGCATTTATATGGTTTCTCTCCGGTATGTCGACGCATATGTACTATGAAGTTTGAGGAGCATGTGAAACTTCTCCCGCAGTAGAGACACAGCGACGTCGCTGTACTACGGTTCCCGATACCGTGGACACGCATGTGAGATCTAATAAAAAAAATATATAAATGTAAGAGTTTGGATGGATGTTTAGTTTGTAGCTTAAATAGAACGGATCTTGATGAAACTTGGCATAAATATAGTAAGAACACATACGCTATTTTTTTTAAATCCACGCGGATTAAGTCACGGGCGAAAACTAGTAACTGTAAAGATTTTTATACCTTACAAATATTATAAATGCGAAAGTTTAGATGGATGGATGTTTGTTAGAGTTTGTAGCCTAACGGCTGAACGGATATTAATGAAACTTGGCATAGATGTAGAGCATAGTCTGGAAGAAGACATAGGCTACTTAGCTTTATTTTTTTTCCACGCGGACAAAGTCGCGGGCTAAAGCTAGTCGTTTATAGTTAAGTGGTATTTTAGCAACTTTTTACCACTAGATTTCATTTTAAGTAATATGAAAAGAGGTTTTACAATACCATACAAAAAGTATGAATATTTTTAATACAAATATTAAAAATTTTTGGAATACTAAGTACATACGAATTTTCATATGTACATAATTTACCCGACGTTCTTATGGTGAAGGAAAACATCGTGATGCAGCACATATCGGCGAACAAATATGTGTGAAGTCAACCCACAGTGGGACAGCGTGTTTGAGTAAATCCTAGTGACCCTAACTTAGGGTAGGCTCCGAGCCCCACAGTGGGGGCGTATACTGAGCTGGTGATGATGAAGTACATAGTATGCCTGTGAGTTGAGTTATGATGTAAAATATATATGTTTAAATAATTTTAACACTTACTTCAGATTGTCATTCCTGAGGAACCGTTTGTTGCATATCTGACACTCGAAGGGTTTTTCAGCGTTGTGATGCTTCATGTGCTTTGTCAGTGAACTCTTCCTGAAAAATATATATAAAATACATTTATTATATAACACCTATTTGCTCTTAAATTAACTTTAACTGTGTAAAATTTATATTTTACAATTTACTTAAAGAAAGAAAATCCTCACTTCTATTTAACATAACTGATCAACTAATTGGGAATTTATTCTTCACACCTGAGTTCTGTCAGTCTGTGTGAGAATTTAGTTAATAGATTACAGCTTTATTATACACTAGCTTTCGCCCGCGACTCCGTCCGCGTGGAATTAAAAAAAACAAAAGTGAGTAGCCTATGTGTTCTTCCAGACTATCCTCTACATCCATACCAAATTTCATAGAAATCCGTTCAGCCGTTTAGGCTACAAACTCTAACAAACATCCATCCATCCATCCATCTAAACTTTCGCATTTATAATATTAGTAAGAAGTAAGAAGTAAGATTAATAGCTGTTCCAGTGAATTATAAGGACTATTGCTTACATTTCTCAAATTTCAAATGGACAGTTGACAACGAAGCCTTTTGATATTGGACAACAATCACCGTTGCCATGGCAACCTTGCTATTAACATCTACTTTTTGTCCCTTTCCCTCGTGACAGTTTTTTCCCAATTTACTCCCTAAGCTTAATACCTTGAAAATATGTAACCGAAAGCGTGTTCATAGTATAAATTTTTATTCAAAATTGAGAATGACTTACATAACTAAGAAGTGTGTTTACGCTTTATTATATGTATATATTTTTTATAATACACCTGAATCGGATGGATTGCAATTGCAGATGCGTTGCCTACCCTAAATTGACAGAAGTGGAGACACACACAAAGAGGACATTTTCCCTTCCTATAGGTCTCCTCCACCGTCAAATACACTTTCCCTGCCCACCCTCTGAAGAAAATAGTGAAAAGGGAAAGGGACTAAAATGAGGCCTCCTGCACCACACTCATCAGACTGTACGCGGAATTGCTTCCACTTCACGCCTGTCTTGTGTGGTCGTGGTATTACACCGGGCGAGACCAATGCGAAGATGTTAAAGCGGTCTACAATTTATAAGTGTTATATCACTTTAGATTTTAAAAAATTATTTCAATATTCTATACATACTTGAGAAAGTGTTGTTTGCATGTATCGCACTGGTAGATTCTGCCTGCGGGGGTAGATAGGAAGTCTACGGATGCTTGTTGGCCGACGTGGCGACCCAGTATGTGTTTGTTAAGAAACACCTCGCGTGTGAACCGTTGCGGACAGGACGGACACTTGTACGTACGCTCTACGTTCGCGCAACGCATTCGGTGGGCACGCGAAGCGCTTAACGTTTGAAATACCTATAAAATAACTTTTAGTTTAATTTAAAATATAGTCCATGTGTGGAAATAGTATTGTCTATTGCAATCCGGAGTGAATGAGATATCTTTCAGTCAGGGTCCCGTCAAAATCGGTACAGCTGTTTCGGAGATTGCCCAAAACAAACGCGGATGCTGACAGACAGAGAAAATATTTTTCAATGCAGTTTTCGTTACCAACAAGGCAAATACATCATCTTCGCGAAATCTGGATGTCTTTCAATGTTAAATTTTTTTTTAACATCCCCGTTTGCGTGGAAATATTAAAAAATTAAGTACATAGCCTAAATGTTCCTTCAGAATGTTCTACATCTGTGTCTTTCATCAAGATTCGAATAATTCTATACCTCAGTACCAAAGATACCTAGGTATCCTATACCTTTTAACAAACATCTATCGAGACTTTTGTATTAATAACGTTAAATTTATAGCACCTTCATTCATATGACATGACAAACTACAAACGCAGTATTACAAAAAACATACATTTTGTGTAAATTATTATTTTTAATAAAGTTCCTGTGCGACTTCATCCGCATGAAATTATGAATATGCTTTTATTGTTTACATTTGTCAAATTATCAACAGCAAATGTCAAAATGACATAACATGACAAACCTTGGCAATCTTGCTTTCTTGATGTTGGCAGCTACTTATGGTATCTTTCCCACATTAGTTAGTAATGGCTTAGTTTAACGGTATGAAAATATATAGCCTTAAGCCTGGTGTAAGTTTTGAGGTTTTTATTAAAAGAAGAATTATTCAAAAATATGATGTAATTGCTGACATCTTAGGCAACAAAGAAGTGTGTGTGTGTTTACGCTTTATTATAATAGTATAGATTACCTTATCGCAATCCTTGCATTTAAGCGAATGGTATGGATGTCTTGTGTCGATGTGGTCAGCGAGTTCCTTGGGTGTTGACGTCACCACGCTGCAATGCTTGCACCGACGCCATAGTGCACACTCACCCTATTAAAACATACATATTCAAAATTAGCTGTGGCTCGCGACTTCCGCGTTAAATTTTAAAAATATATAAGCTATATCACTCACAGATAAATCGCCTTACTAACGGTGAAAGAATTTTTAAAATGAACCCAGTAGTTTTTAAGTTATTTTAATACAAATATACAAATCTTTCCTCTTTATAACGTTAGTATAGACAAGGAAATTGCATAAATATTATAATAAAGGGCATAAAATCTTGTACAGTCGACACTTTTAGCGGTGTTGCTTTTTGTAATAAAACAAACTCTCCCTTATCTTTGAAATTTCATTTACTGGCTACATTATAAAAACTTTTAATTTTTTACATTTTTTATTGCAAATTTCAAAATATATATGCTCAAATGACAACGAAGGCGTTTGTTAGTAGCGAACAATTACCATTATCATGGTATTTTTTTTCTGTACTACTATTGGTTTGTAGTTTTTTTCCTTTTCTCGCATGCAGGTTTTTTTTCAATTTTCCCCTTAAATTTAATAGCGTATAAATATCATGTTAAAAGTGTTGGTGTTTTATTAAAAAAACGTTGAAAAATATAACGATTGCTGACATCTTATACTGTCTGTGGTTACACTAGAACCTTCATATGGATTTTCTTTAACTAACTACTTTTCTAATGATTGCGAATATACATTCTTGTAGTAATTAAAATTATCATATACTCTTATTGCTCAACATTTTCTGTTTTTATTTTTAGAGCACCCTAATTTCTAGTTGTCAGCAATCTTATTATCCCACTAAGTAACTTAGTAAGTACTAAAAGTGGGATATTAAAAAATCAATTATCATACATTTAAAACTGCTATCTATTAGATATGTTGTACAAAACATTCAAATAAGTAATGTTGAAAATGGCACACCAACAAATACCCTGATTGTACTTTTATCGACAGTGGCAACAAAGCTTTGGTACATTTTTAAAAGTTATTATTTATTTGAATTAGTAAATATATAAGCTAAAGCCCTTTTCAAATTAACCTTTTCAGTACTTCTGCTTTGCATCACATCAAGAGTTGTTACATAAAGGAAAGTGTCTTGTTCTTTCGTAGCCTGCCTTGAAGATGACTCACTCTGAAATTGAAATTAATTTATTAACCTATGTATCTCAATAACATTATCTATCTATACTATTATAATAAAGCGTAAACACACACTTCTTTGTTGCCTAAGATGTCAGCAATTACAACATATTTTTGAATATTTTTTTTAATAAATAGCTCTACACTAACGTCACGCTTAAGGCTCTATATTTACGCCATTAAACTTAGGGGGTAAATATTTTGGATAAAAACCCTAATGTCGGAAAGAGACCATAAGCTGCTGCTAAAGAAAACAAGATTGTCAAGGTTTGCCATGTCATGTCAGTTTGACATTTGCTATTGATAATTTGACAAATGTAAACAGTAAAATAAAATTTTCATAATTCCATGCGGATGGAGCCGCACGGGAACAGCTAGTTTATAATATTTGTAGAGATTATTTGTAATAAATTGTAATATTTTAAATCAAATAACCTGTGGTACTACATTGTACATATTCAATCAAATAGTTTTAGTGGATTTTTAAAAATGTTCATAACTTTATTTAGAAAGTCTACACTTAACAATCGTATTAATAAACTAGGTTTCGCCCGCGACTTGGTTCGCGTGAAATTAAAAAATAATAAGAAACAGCCTATGTTACTTACAAATAGAACACCTTTCTAACGGTGAATGTTAACGTTTTTTAAATCGGCATAGAAGTTTTTGAGTTATTTCAATACATACAAAAATACAAATCTTTCCTCTTTATAATATTAGTATAGACATAAATACTTACAGCATTAATATCCGATTCCATTTTCTCTTCCGAACATAAATGTGTATCATAATAATTCTTGCTCATATATTTCTTCTTGCAGACACAGCAATAGTAAACATTTTCTGAAATTATACAATTACAATTTAGACTTAGGGCCTGTCCCACCACTGGCTGATAGAGGCTCAGATAGCTTAAAAATGACGCCACTGTGAAATCTTACTAATATTATAAATGTGAAAGTTTAGATGAATGGATGGATGTTTGTTAGAATTTGTGGCCTAAACAGCTGAACGGATTTCGATTAAATTTGGCATACATGTAGAAGATAGTCTGGAAGAACACATAGACTATTCACTTTTGTTTTTTCAATTCCATACGGACCGTAATAAAATAAAATCCGTAATAAAATCCGATATTTCCACCACATATTTTGCACATTCGATTGTTATCAGACAATTTACAATTTGGTGGGATAGGCCCTAAATAATTTGCGTGCCCTGCCTTTTTACCCTTTTCATTTTTTTTTCTCAAGATTTATAATCTACTCAGTTACTGGTTCTTGTATAAATCTTCTTAGTATAAAATATATTTAACTAATCCAATTATACGGTAAGCAAGTCTACTAAAGTCAGACGTAAAAATTTTAATGGAATTTAAATGTCGTTTCAGCAGTCGGCTGATAAACTGAACCTTATAAGAACAACAGTGCGCGATTTTACCTGTATGCGTAGAGATATGGTATATCAATTCTTCTTCGTTTACGCAATTATTATTGCAAAACGTACATCCGTATGGGTTTTCCGGTTTCGGCTTCAAAAGTCCTCTTTCCAGTAATTTTTTTAATACAAACTGCAAATATTTAATCATTTTAGAAATTAAGGCAATTGACATTTTCATTGAAACAATATTAGTTATCTGCCTTCTTACTAATATTATAAATGCGAAAGTTTAGATGGATGGATGTTTGTTAGAGTTTGTAGCCTAAATAGCTGAAGGGTTCTTGATAAAATTTGGGATAGAACTAGAGGACAGTCTGGAAGAACACAGGATAGTTGCTTTTGTTTTTTTTAATTCCATGCGAACGAAGTCGCGGGCGATAGCTAGTGATATATAAACTAGCGTTCAACTGCGACTCTGTTTGCTCGGAATTTAAAAAAACTTAGTAAGCCTATGAGTTCTTCCAGGTTATGTTCTACATCTGTGCCAAATGTCAGTGATACATTCAGCAGTTTACACTACAGTCTAACAAAAATGTATCCTAATTTTAGTATTTATACTCTAGTAAGAAGTTAGTAGTAAGACTCAGTAATAAATATATTAAAATAACAACGTCTGAAATAAGTTTTTGTAACTTACTTCTGTACTGATCTTCTTTGGTCTGCCTCTCTTCTTGGGGCCCATGATCTCAGTGTGCATTTCCCACATATGCTTTGTGAGACCGTCTACATCACTATAGGTAACTCGGCACAGAGGACAAAATGTTTGACAAGCATCTGATTTCACTGTAACAATGGATTGAGATCACATAAATTCACTACTACCATCATATACAATCCTTAACACCTGGTTTTCATCATCCGTATAAATCCATTTTCCATCAACTCCCATCTTAATCATTCACATTCATCCATCTCTTTCTAGCCTTCCATACTCTTAACTAAAGATCTTTCATTTGTTATTTTTCTCTTCTCAAAGCCTAACAGAGGTAATCTTTCGCTAATTAATTTCTTTCACAATAGAAATTACATGATTTTATTATAGTTTTAAGGTTGGCATCTTCCCTTAGCATTGGGGTTGTCCATCTTGTAGAATACGTTAATTTTAAGTAATCAGTTGCTAGTTTGATTTTTTTTAATATTACAAAGTAGCAAATGAGCAAGCGGCCACTTGAAACCACCGAAATGGCGAAGTGACCGCTGCCCAGACATCCGCAAAGGAGGACACACACATAAATAGGATATTTCCCCTTCCTGTTCATCTCCAAGGTCATCATCGATCAAGGAAAGGAACTATATTTAGGCCTATTTAAAAAAGATATGTCTTACCTGTCAAGTTTTCTACATCTGGTGAAGGTTGTAAATTATCTGATGTCACACTAACTGTGTAACTCTCAATCGGTTCTATGTTCACAGTATTGACACCTTCTGAAAACAAAAAATAATACATAAATAAAAATGTAAGTATTTACTAATAACTGTGATAATATTAATTTTACTGTGCTATAAATAGACAGATGACTTAGGACATGGCATGATCTTTTTTTGATGCTTTTATTTTCAGGTTAAACACTGTATAACCTTATGTGTTACCTCTTTTATTTGTAACCCGAGTTATGCTCAATGTAAGAAATTTTATTTATTAACCAAACTAGCTTTCACCTGCAACTCCGTCCGCATAAAATAAAAAAAACTGAGTAACCTATGTGTTCTTCTCAACCGTCTACATCAACACAACATTTCATCAGCCCGTTCAGCTGTTTAGGTTGCTAACTCTAATAAACATCCATCTATGTAAACTTTCGCATTTATAATATAAGTATGACTAATATGAACCAATCTTACCTGTTTTAACACTAGCATTGTCAGATTCCACAAGTCTGTTGTTAATATCATCACCTGCATCATTCAATTCCACCTTCACAACAACATCATCCTAAAAAGAAGAAAGTAATTTAAAAACATGGCATTAATTTATGAATAACATATTCAAAGATTTTTACAACTACACACTTACAATTTTACAATAAAAAGCACTTCACTAACAACAAATTAAAGATTACAAATTTTAAATTTTACAATAAAAAGCACTTCACTAACAACAAATTATAGAATACATATTTTCAATTTTAAACTTAAGGGGTTAGCATTGAAATAAAATCGAAATGGACAAAAACCTGCAACAATAAACCAGTTAACTCCCCACCCCAAAGCTAGTGACAAAGGGTGCATTAAAGTAAAAAAGCTAAAACTAGTAACACCAGCAGGTACTTTCCACCCCGTCTTTGGCAACACAGACTATAAAATGTACAAATAAACTGACAGCTGTCAAAATCTATAATAAAATTGATATAAATAAGAGAGATAGCTACACACACCTTTTTTTCATTCTTAACTTCTGCATTTTCTTTTTTTAACAAATCGCTTATATATACATCTGCATCCCATGACTTCTTTTTAAATGTGAAAGCTTTGTCAGCAGCATCTTTACAGTTTTGACATATTTTATCTGGATATCCTTCGTTTCTCTCAAACTGTGAAACAAAATTTGTTAAATGTTAATGGATTGATAAAAATCAATTGGTAAGGCAATTAGCCCAATGAAAAACACCCTCCTAAATAACTATCATAACAATTTGGTTTCAGTAGTTAAGAGCCTATGTTATGTTGGTAAGTTGTCTTCTGTGAAGCCTTCAAGTCGCAACCATTATTTTGATATGTTAGTCATGGGCGTTGCTAGGAGTGTAGTGTAAATTATTGTTTGACCTGACCTCCAAATAAATGTCCTTTATCATGAGAAGTAAGAGTAGATAATTGCCTTTTACAGTATATAATCCAAGTGAGTTTCAAAGATAACACAGATTATAAACATAACCAAAACATCAGCAATGTGTATAAATGTGTAAAATAGTAGGCTTCCATTTGTGAATAAAATAGTAAGCTTGTTACAAGTTACAAGACATAATTAAGTTATATGATACTGTGGGGTGAGGAGGTCAGACGAGATCCGAGAGGGCCCCTTTGCGCATCTTCCTTGCTGGTCTTGTAGCAGGACGCAACAACAACATATAATACTAATTTACAGGATATTAACATGAAGGGAATATGGATATGAGAGATAAGAGACCAGACACACATTTGCAGGTGAAGCCAGGGGTGTCGCTAGTATATACTTAACAGCCAATGTGTTTGCATTACAGAGTTCAGTGCAAAAGAAGGAGTATCTTTTGGACTTGCTGAGTATAACAATTTCCAAGGTTGAAGTCATACAAGATTTTAATGTTGTAGCTAGCTATTTACAGAAAACATGACAAAAGATACACTTTGAACCTTTAAATACCACAGAACACAATGTAATTTGGCTGCTAAGCTCAAATTCTAGGGACCGATTTGGGTGTGGTTTCATTGAGATATTATAGACAGTAACATGAAGTTTTAATTTTGTCAGGTAGTACACTTTGCTTATGCCTTGTTTTACTGCATTACACATTTGTAGATTAACTATGAACAGGTTCAACAGCTTAAAGTGTGTGGAACTCTTTAGCTGCGGCTCAACAACTAAATTATTCACACACAGCTCAATGTCATGTATTATAACTATGGGTACAGATGAGCCACAAACTGCTGGATGACTACATTATAACGCTATTTAGATACCAATTGAATTAAACTAAGAGCCGATTTGCTTCACCTATTGAACAGTAACTTCAATAGTTGCATTGTGTTATGAGATATTGAGTACATACCTTTATTCCAGTTACTGCCGTTATTGCCTGTTCCAGAGTGACGACTCCATCTCTCAGGTTGTCTACATGCGTTTCAAATATCGGATACAACACGGAATCTGCAGCTAAACATGTTCGACAAATGTCTGCTATATTAACGCTCGTCGAGCTCATGTTGAAAACGAAAACAAAACCACTTGTCTATCTTTAAACTACATTTATCCACTTCACACTTCAAAACCATTACACTTAAATATATGAGACATTGAATTATTTGATTAAAACTCAAATCAAAATGAACAAGAACATTTCAATACAAATACAATTGAAATGGGGAAAAAGCATAGAGCATAGAGTGGCATAGAGGGCAGGCAAATACCAGGGCTGCACTCCTCTAAAATTCGTATACTTTTTTAATGTTTTGGCTTGGCTACTAAAACTTTTAGCTAATTCTCATTTCCGAGCATTACTTTAGGATAGAAAGGTTTAAATCCACTTGTTTAGTTCATATTTTCATAAAGAACGTGACTGTATAATTGATTATAATATTATAATATGGACAAACTATAGCACAGCTGGTAAAAATAGTAAATCGAGATTTTTTTCGTGGAAGTATTTTAGAAATACATATAGACGAAGTAGGTAATTATCGGACATTATGAAAATACATATTGCATACTACATAGTACAATCTGAATTATTCGACAGAATTAATTTCCCTATAATATAAATAAAAAACCTCAATTCAACCCTGGAAACCAGAGAGCATTTCAGCAATGTTACCAGTGGTAGCAGGCACATTTCCCAAGTATTTCCTCAAATCAAAGCAAAAAAATAATTAATAGTTACATTGATTTCGATTTATTTTTTTCTACGTCTACAATTTTTGTAGACTTACTACAGCGAAATAATTTCGCAGAAATAATGTGTTTCCTTTTAGTACGTTTCAAACATCTTTTCCGATCTTTATGTTTTCGTTTGTGATTTAACTAAATATTTTGGAAATAGGACAAGAACCATGTTGTTTATAAACATTCAGATATCTGCAAACACCTTGATTATTAGTGAAAAAAAAACAAATTTCATGGCTTGTTTATTATGGAGTAATCTTAACAATATTATAAATGCGAAATTTCAGATGGACCGATGGATGGATGGATGTTTGTTAGAGTTAGAGTTAGAGAGAGCTTACACTGCTGAACGGATCTCGATGAAATTTGGCATAGACGTAAGAATAGTCTGGAAGCACACATATGCTACTTACCTTTGTCTTTAATCCTACAAACACGAAGGTCCGTGCAAAAGCTAGTAAGGAATAAGGTTCATTATAATTAGTTTTTGCTTATGAAGTATCAAATTAATTGTGTATAGTATTAATGTCGTACTTAATGGAAAGGTACCATTGTGTCAGACAGTACTCGCATATCGAACAATCAGAAACTGGAGAATCGGTCTTGCAATAAAGTTAGTACAACAAATAAATGTTTAAATTTATGTTTTATTGTTATTTTCTTTTATTTATTATAGTTATTCGGCTATGTATCACACAATTAACTGTTAACAAAACTATACACCTTTTTCTTATTTTTTTTGTTTGTCATTGCCTTGAATTTTTGTTTATATTCCTTTAATTTATTTTTAGGATTTACATTATTTTAGAAAGACACTATTTCATTTGTATTATGGTAATTCCAAAATAGTATTTACGAAATTATCGATCGCTAGTTCTTAGAAAATCGAAAAGATTTCAAATCGATTTTACTTATCATATCCTACTGAATTGTCAAAGGAATTGTCAAACTAGTCATTATACAACAGAAAATATTTTTTGGAATGCCGCATCCAATTAACATTAACATACGAAAAATTAAAGCACTTATTTTTTTTTAATTCTACACTAATCATTTGAGGTTATCAACATTTTAAGAGTATTGTTATTGGAGTCATTTCTTTTTTAAAGTATATATTTATATTTTTCTTACTAAATTTTGATCTTCTGACTTTGTGTTACTGTGTAACTGTAGTGCTATTGTAGAATTATATTTAGTTTCTTATTAAACTCAGGGTAGTTCCAAGTCAGCGATCGATAGAAGTGTCATGGTAACATTGCCATGGCAACTGTCATCACCGATGTGGGCTTCAACACCCGTAGCACTTGTAATGACTTATATTGTGGTCTTTATTTTCTTTAAGAAAATGAGCGGGATAACTGTATGAGTCAAAATAAGTGTCACGACAGTCAAAGCCGACGGTCCATGTTTTCATACAAACTTCAAATTCCATGCATCTCTCTCGCACACCCTCAGTATGCTTCGGATGCGCTAAGGTGTGAGTGCGAGTGTTGAGTGTAGATTTTTTCCCTTATAATGTGATGATGAAGCTTACTTAATATCAACGATATAAATTTGCTAATCAGTATATATGTTTCGGGGGTATCGTGATTGTAGCAGGCTTGGGTGCGGTAAGTACTTTATGAACAGGGAATATTTTTAATTTAAGTCTACTAACTAGTAAGTGCACATCACAATTTACTGAGATCAGCTGTGGCGCATGTAGTGCGCAAGCGCAGATGATCGCCTACATAAGATGCCCTAGATGAAAACAGATATACAACTCTGTTAAATCTTATATATCTATATATATAAAATAAATATCTATTAAAACATTATCTACATAGATATGATATTTATTTATTCATTATAAAAATACAGGCTTTTTTTTTAAATACCGATTTAGCAGACTGCGAGCTCTTCAGTGGGGACTATTCGGTATTTATTTTTTAATAAATTAAAACATCCACATGTTACCAAAGTGGACGCTAGTGTGTAAACTATTTTGTATTTTTTTCTAATTAATAAAAATACCAGCACAGATAAACTTCGATGGATATTTAAAAAAAATGGCAATCAATACTAATTTTTACGACTGCATCATTTCTGTCTTCGAATCGACGTCCTAATTGCTCGCGTCATTCCTTACCGGATTTTTAGTGTAATTAAAAATATATTAATAAATTATTATCATTACACTAAAAAATCGTGCATTTTCAACAAACTAGCATAATTTCATCATAATCTATGTATGCATATTAATGGTTATTTTTATATTATAATTTTAAAAACGCGACTGACTAATGAAATAGCGCCATCTGGTAGCGTCAATCAAAAGTAAAACCTTAACGTAATAATGTAGCTCTGTCTGATTTTAGAATATACTTAAAATAACCCTAAAAAAGAATTTACAATTTACAATGAATATAATATAGAAAGTGCGAATTTAAGTCGATTTTTGACCTTTTTTGTACATAAATTCTTGCGTTCACTATAAGTTATGTATTTTGTGCCGAATATTATACCTTATGACAATCCTGGGAAGAAGACTAATCGAATAACAACTCAAAATTAGTTCAGTCGTTTTGTTTAAATTTAAATATATAAAAACCCACATATATATAAACAAACCAACATACACTCGAAAAGCATTACCCTTATCGGTACTAGGAATTAAAACAACCGTATCACCCCTCAATTTAACCTAAAAGCTGATGACTCCCTTTAACTCGTACTATCGACATTTTTTTTACATACGACATAGATAAAATATTTGAATTTAATTGTTAGTCTGCAATTAGTATAATTTGAAATGCGAAAGTTTAAACGGATGTTACTACGACGTATTATGTTCGCATAGACGTAGAGTACACATATGTTTAGTAACTCCGTGGCGCAGCGTCACAAATTGTTGGCCCCCGAAACAAGAGAACGTTCATCCTGCGTATGTATCCTGCGTCATCTTCTGCAAGTCAACTAAACAAAGACTGCTTTGTTTTGTTGACCGACTTCCGAAAAGAAGGAGGTACTCAATTCGTCGATACGTTTTTTTTATGTGAGTTATTTTAACTCCGAGCGGACGAAGTCGAAAATTATACATGTCATATTACTAATTACTGATATTATAAATGCGAAAGTTTAGATAGATGGATTGATGTTTGTTACAGTTGATAACCTAAACGGCTTAACCGATTTCGATGAAATTTGGTGTAGATACAGGACAGTCTGGAAGAATGCATAGGCTACTCACTTTTGTTTTTTAAACTCCACGCCGACGGAGTCGCGGGTGAAAGCTAATTTAAATAAAATAACATGTAATCCTTAACAACACAACTAGAAACAACAAAAAACAAACAGGACACGAAGTAATTTAAAACAAAATAATAAAATTGTTATTAAAGTTAAATAATAATAATGAGCATTGCTGATCGTTTTGGGTCCTTGCTTAGCTTTGGTGTTACTGACTGAAGTAGCTGAAGTATCTGAAGTGCTGGTCTTCCGCGGGAACCTTTTGTTTCATCCATAAGCCTAGTTGCTTCAATATTGCGTTAGTTATGAATATGAAAGGGTATACCGGTAGAGGTAAACCTAGAAAGAGATGGATGGATTGCGTGAAAGGTGACATGATCAAGAAGGGAGTGATGACTGAAATGACGTATGATAGAGTTATTTGGACGAAAACCCGGTGCGCTGATCCTACGGGAGTAGGATAAGGCAGGGGAGATGGTGAATGCATCAATATTGTGCACTGTGAGAATAGTGTCATTGCAAATTTAAATTGACATAATATTCAGTATCCGTATCAAGTGATGTTGCATCCTGTTTAACGCCTCATCCGATATCGACTGTAATATAATGATTGCGTTCGGATTATCTCAAGACGGAAATGCAATTTTAACACGAACCCACATCAATGTGGGAACTGTTTTTGCCATCATTGTTATTGGCCAAGTAAATGAAAAGATACATTTAGAAACATCAATAACTAGTTATTGCTTGAGACTTTATCTACGTGGAATTAAAAAATCATATCGGCGATGATGTAGCTTTTTAATGTAGTTTTTGAGTTATTTCAATACATCCAAAAATACAAATCTTTCCTCTATAACATTAGTATAGATATAAAAAAGTATGAATTATGGCGACTGCCAGTTTTAAATTCCCAACCAAACAGGTTTTAATGACCTCTTGCTAATCATAAAATGTACACCGTCTATTGTTCGTGGCTTCGGTCGGATACATTTCTTATCTTTTACATCAGAATTATTTGTTGTCGAGATTAATATCAACATGATATTTAAAATATAATTTGTTCCTGTCTTATAAATCGGGATGTTACATCATCTGTACCTGATAGGCTACTTTTTAAAACGCAATGAAGAAGTCCCGGGCGACCGTTAGTCTATACTATTATAATAAAGCGTAAACACACACTTCTTTGTTGCCTAAGATGTCAGCAATTACAGCATATTTTTGAATAGTTATTTTTTTAATAAAAAGCCCTACACTT